GGGGGTAGCAATTGTGGGGCTGGGTGGGGCACGTAGGCCTTGTGGGGGTGGTGGTAGCACCTGTGGGGGCCTTTTGGCCCTTGCAGGGCCGTAGCCCCTGTTGGGGGGCCATAGCCCCTTTGTGGGGGCCATAACCCCTGTGTGGCCATAGTCCCCCAGCAGCCAGTGCTTTAACATTGTAGATATATCAATAAAACATTGCCCAACTGATTGCTGTCTCTGTCTCACTCTCTCTCTCTTTATAGCGGTCTTTTGTTTTACTTGTGGAGGAACATGGATTTTGGGGTATTTTACAGAGTGACTTTGGGACTTTTTTTATTAGGTATTTTTCAGTTTTCCAATAGGGAACACCAGAATTCCTGCTAGGGAGGTCAGTGGCAGGGCCCTGCCTGCTCAGAGCTGGCACCTTGGACCCAGATGGCTGTGGCTGACCTCCTGGCCAAATGGGGCCAGGAGGACATGGTTTGACAGTTCAAAGCAGGCCACAACACCCGAAATATCTTCCGATAGCTGCTCAGATGGTAGTGCTGCACAGAGGCCAACTCTGCAGCCACAGCCCAGTGGCAGCTGGCCCAGAGGGGCAGATGCCTCTACTGGCTGTGCAGTTCCCATGCGGTTCTGGCACATGTGTAGCAGCCCCCACTGCCAGAGTGCTGCAGTGGGTAGAGGGTGCAGGGAACTCTCAGGGCTGCTTCAGCAGTCCAGCCGGCACAAGGGGTAGTGTCCCCAGGTACCAATTAGCTGGGCCCCAGAAGCTTCTGAGAGTGAGTAGCCCTGAGCTACTTGCCAGGGAAGCTTGTTGTACTGCTGGGGCCAGGACAAGGCAGCTTTTTATACTGCTGGGGCCAGGACAGGTACTGGCCCCAGGCTCTAGCTCCCCCCGGCTGCAGGTCGAGGAGGAGCCAGGCAGGGTTATTTATTTCCAAGTGGCACAATTTGCTCTTCAACAAAGTGAATGTCCAAGCATGTGCGCTGAGGCAAAAAGCCACGGTTCAAATTTGCACCGCTTCTATTTGAGCTGCTACAAGCACATGTGGTTGCATGTGCCGAGAGGTCAGGCCTTCTTCCTTCAGGAGCTCTATAAATACTTTGCACTGGCTTCCTACACTTACAGTAGTAATGCTGAAGACCTAAGCATGCATGTTCACTGGGATTTCCCCTTTGAGAGAAGCAAGCAAAAACCATGCACTGAGCTAGCTTGGCCTCAGGTAGCAACCCTCTCTCTCCACATAAAAGCCTCCTTTACCTCTTGTGTATTTTTGCAGTGCCCAAGTCCCTTACTTTTTAAGTCACCACTGACAACCACTAGTAAAGATTATGAAGAGATATGGGCTCTGCCAACACCTTTATATAGCACTGTACATTTAGGATAGAAATGTTTCCCCGCCTAGTACAAAAGCAAACTAGATCCATCATCTGGATTAAGTATTTTAAGAAACAATGGGGGAGATAAGAGTACAATTCTTTAGGATCTCACACCTTAATTAAAAGACATCAAAATTTAAAAGTTCGGAGAAGCTTTTATGGCTGGGAACTGAGATTGTCTACTCTCAAGCTGCCAAAATTGTTCAAAACTACATAATCACAGCTGATTCATATAGATGTCCAAATAGCGGAAGCTTATTAGGAACACCTTCCCTTACTTTCCGATTGAGAAAACTTTTATTTCCAGGTAGAGGTCTGACTACGGGGTTCCTTGCTTTCCTCTCCCCCCCCCGGATAATTATTTGAATACCTTTCGATCCAAGAGGCCACCACTAAAATACAAACAGTGCAACCTGTAGCAAGCCCATCACTAACAAGAACGCTGCATCATTCATAACATGCCAATATTCTATTGAAGTCAGTCCACGCAAGTGCAGCTCAAGGTCTTGGTACTCAACCTGTTTTAAGTCCTAAATAGGTCCTCAAGATACCTGAGACCACCCTTCTCTAGGAATACTGTAAATTTCTCTTGGGAATTTTACCGTGACTGAACCAAAGAGCTTGCAACCCTCAGATTTTAGTGTCAGATGGCAAGTATTTCCTTAACAGCCAAGCTGGGATACAGCACAACCAGGATGCTATTTGAATAAAGCAACTTATCTACATTTATTGTAAGCAAGTGCCATTAAGATTACAGGTAAAAGATGGGAGACCTTTCCAGGCATCACAGCCACCCAGCCGTGAAAGGGAAAGAAGCGTGACCCTGCTGAAGAATTATTGTCGTCTGCTCACAAGATTCACTGGCAAGTCAACACCACCTTGACCAATGGTGCCTCAAAAGCTGTTGATAGAACCTGTGTTAATCACCCACTTGCGTTTTGCCTATCACAAGGCAACTGCTATCACTGTGCGATACTCAGCTAGGAAACCAAACGTTTTAAGAAAGTCTGTGGAATCCAAGAGTAGCTGCTTTTGTTCCAGGAGTACTTTGATAACCTAGCCACCAAAGGCACTTAGAAACAGGGGAGCAATCTGCAAGTTTAATACCTAACCATGGTCAGAAGCATAGAAAATGAGGGTTGGAAGGGACCTGAGGAGGTCATCTAGTCCAACCCCCTGCTCAAAGCAGAACCAGCCCCAGCTATATCATCCCAGCCAGGGCTTTGTCTACCTGGATCTTAAACACCTCTAAGGACAGAGATTCCACCTCCTCTGTGGGTAGCCCATTTCAGTGCCTCACCACCCTCCTAGTCAGACAGTTTTTTCTAATCTCTCACTCATCATTGGTCCAGTCAGGTCCCAAGCTAAGGCAGATCTACCCTGCTTTAAGTGCGTATGGCCGCTTGCATTCTCCTGGGAGGTGCCAACAGCTGCCACCAGGTTTTGCCCCATGCTTTCTCCACAGGTTCCAAGAGGGAACTCCAAAACTTCCCCAAATGCTAGCTACAAGGGAGGGGAAGATCTACCCACAAGCTTCAGGGGCAACCTGGGAGACAACAAGCTTTGTCACCACTTGTGGATGGGAGGCCCAATGTACATCTGGAGTGAGGACCTGGTTTGGGGGAAAAGGCGGTGGGTGGGGGGGGAGTCAATCATTGGTGCCCATCCTCCCGTTGAGAAGCACTATCCAGGCCGGGGCTGCAAGGAAGGGGACAGCAAGGGGGAGCCAGGGTTACTCTGTTTCCAACCAGCATCTCAGCTCCTCCTTAACATCGTAGAAAACTAGGGCTGGAAGGGACCTCAGGTTTAGCCCAGTGTTTCTCAACCTGTGGCTCACAACCCAAAAAAGGGGTTGTGAACAAACTTAAAAAAAATGGACTCTCCTTTAAAGGAGAAAAATATGATAAACCGAGGCTTTTTCCTTGCAGGCTGGCAGAGCTCCAACCTGCCGGGGGCTGCCAGGGCCCCCCTGCCCCACACACACCCACCTTGTCCCCTGAGAGCGAGGGGCAGCGGCAGAACCAGGGGCTGTTTCTTAAACTATTTCCTGGGTCAGGACTGGCCACCGATGTTTGCAAATGGGTCCTGGCGCGAAAAAGGGGGACGACCCCCGTGCAGCCCAACCCCTCACAGACAAACGTTTGCTTCGCTTTTTAAAAACGCCGCCAACGCCCAAACCCACTTCCCCAGTCCTCACGAAAGCCACCCGCCGCCCCCCAGCAGCTCCCGGCTCAGGGTAGGCGCAGGACGTGGCCCAGGCAGCCCAGCCCCTCCAGCCGCGCGGGGGCTGCCCCGGGCCGGGGCGCTCAGCCAGGGCAGCTGCCGAGGGCTGC